ATGAGAGATAATAATTTAAGGCAGGCATGGCAGGGAGTGTATACAATGATAGGACAGGAGAAGAGTAAATCATTTATGGGTAATCATGAGGATGATTTGGCCTTAGCAAATTAATTAAATACATTTTTTTGGTAGATTTGAAACATCAGATTTTAAAACTGAACGGAATTTGATTAGACAGCAAATGAATGTAGGGCAGGAAATCATTATAACATCGGAAGAAGTTTGTAGGATCTTTAAAAGGGTTAATACAAGGAAGGCAGCGGGTCCTGATAGAATAACTGGTAGGGTACGAGCTTAGTGTCATTTACAGTCATCTGTTTCAAGTGTCTGTGGATACTTGCTATGTACCTACTGCCTGGAAATGTTCATTTATAGTGCCTGTGCCACAAATATCAAAACCTGCTGTTTTAAATGATTATCGTCCAGTAGCTTTGACATCTATTGTCATGAAGAGTTTTGAAAAAATAGTGTTAGATCGTGTTCTTTCTGAGGTGCGAAACAAACTTGATCCTTTACAATTATAATATGGGAGGGGGAGGAGTGCAGAAGATGCCCTCTTGTATATGCTACAAAGACTCTATTGTCATCTTGATCAGCCAAAGCAATATGCCCGTGTTATGTTTACAGATTTCTCATCTGCATTTAATACTATACGACCACATATTCTAATGGAAAGATTGTTTAAGCTGGGTGTGAATAGCAGACTCAATTAGATGGGTTGAGTCTTTTTTGACCGATAGATTACGGTGTGTTAGGGTGAACTCTGCTTTTTCTTCCTCTATTTTTACCAACACAGGGGCCCCACAGGGAAGTATTATCTCCCCAGTGTTATTTACCCTTTATACAGATGAATGTAGAGGTTTTTCATCTGATGTTTTTAAAGGGGTCCTATTATGCTTTTTCACTTTTTAAATTTTAGTCAGTGTGTAGTGTGTATGTTACGTTACAGCACGACGTAGCTGGGCGCCGTGGACAGTCGCCGAATGGAGCCACGGTGTGCCTACACTCATAGAAAATAATGTATTTGAATTTTAAAGATGTGGCGCGACCCTGCGCTTCTCGTCCGGTGTGCGACCGCCTGAAACGCAGTTTTTTTTCACCTCCATGCCCAAACGTCTTTGTTTGGGCTTCCGAAAGCGGATGATGTCAGGAAACAGTGGTTGCAATTTACAAACCCAATTCCAAAAAAGTTGGGACACTGTACAAATTGTGAGTAAGTAAACTTCAACTGATTTCCCCTGCTCAGGGAGTAAGGAGCAATGGGCACTGTGTAGGGACCATGTCAATCGGAACACAATTCATGCACGGAGCTCACTTCTAATGAGATGATGATCTGAATCAGGTGTGTTAACAAAGAGAGACGTGCAAAACATGCAGAGCGGGTACGCGAGGACTGGGATTGAGAACCGCTGGTCTAGAACAATTCTTACAAGTA